TTCTAGTTAGTCCCACATAAAACCACACCAAACATAGGACAATTGTGTTCTGTCCTGTCCTGTCCCACCCTGTCCAATGTACTAAACGCACCCTTAAAGTACACTAAAATATTGCTATTATAATGTATAATTATGGTGTTTAGTGGGCTGAATACTTCTCATATTCATTCTGCATTCTGCAACTTATCTCCGAGTCAACAATCTTTGATCCTGCTGAGGTTACTTTTTTTGATTCATTGAAGATCATGGGAGATCCAATCGTCTCTTCTGTAATCAATCAAGTCATGGAAAGATCCACGTCTCTTGCAGCACAAGATTTCGCGGTCCTATGGGGCCTCAAGGCCGATCTCCGCTCTCTGCGCACCATTTTTACTCAGATCCAACCGCTACTGGCCGATGCTGAAGCCAAACAGAGGAAGAACAGAGCTTTACAGGATTGGCTCAGGAAGCTCAGAGCTGCATCTTTCGAAGTCGAAAACGTCTTGGAAGAGGTCTCTACCGAAGCTTTGCTGCGACGGCTTCACGTCGAAAGGGGAATCCGAAACAAAGTAAGCACATTCTTCTCCGCTAGTAATCCGCTCAAATTTCGTATCAGGATGGTTCAGAAAGTCAAAGACATCAAAGAATTGTTGGATGCTATTGCTGCTGAGAGAATCAATTTTGAATTGAAAGAAGGTATTACTGATTTAGAAGTTGTTGCTGATATCGATACAAGGTCAATTAGCTCCATCGATTCTGAGATTGTAGGAAGAGATGAGGAGAAAGAAATGATTGTTGAGAAGATATGCAACAGTTTGAACAGTCTAGATCATGGTTTGGTTCATGTCCATGCCATATGGGGCGTGGGTGGTTTGGGTAAAACCACACTTGCTCAGCTAATTTACAAGGATTCAAGGGTACATAAGCTGTTTGACTTAAAACTATGGTTGCGTGTATCCAATGATTTTAGCATCGCAAGCATTACTAGAGAAATTTTGAAGTCTATAGAAGGGGATTCGTCCAGTCTCTCACATATGGAACTGGAACCGTTGCAACAACGGCTCCAAGAGAAGTTACAGAGGAGGAGATTCCTCCTGGTTTTGGATGGCGTTGAAAACGAAAACAAGGAGAAGTGGAATGGATTGATGGAACCATTAAAGCATGGATGTAGAGGCAGTACTGTTATGGTAACAACTAGAAGCAAGAAAGTTGCTGATATGATGGCTACCCTTCCTGCATTAGTACATCCACTGGGTTCTTTGTTGGAAAATGATTCTTGGCTGTTATTCAAGAGTTATGCATTTAGCATTCAAAGGGACCTAGATAGAATAGAGTTGGAGACAATTGGCACAGCAATTGTGAAGAGATGTGAGGGTTTGCCTTTAGCAGTGAAGGTCATAGGAAGCTTAATGTGCCTCAAAAACAGCATAAGTGAGTGGTCGTCTGTGCTGCACAGTGAAGTTTGGGACTTGGCCGATGAGGGAAGTCATATCTTACCATCTTTGAAATTAAGCTATGATAACTTGCCTCCACACATGAGACAATGCTTTGCTTTGTGTTCTATATTCCCAAAAGACCATGAAATGGATAAGCAGTTGTTGGTAGAGCTTTGGGTGGCTTATGGGTTTGTTCCATCGAGAGGAGATGCTGATTTGTATGATTTGGGGGAAGAAATCTTTAATGCTTTGGTTTGTATGTTCTTCTTGCAAGATGTCAAAGAATGCATTTTTGAGGGTACTACGACGTGTAAAATGCACGATGAAATGCATGCACTTGCACAATCCGTTATGAAATACGAATGTTCAAGTATAGTGCCTGGTGAAGTACTGAAATGCCCAGAAGAGATTCTTCATTTGTCTTCTAATGACATCTTACATTTATCAAATGAGGTGATGGCGAAAGCAAAATCCTTACGATCCCTGGTTACTTTGGGGGGTTTTTCTGGAGTTCCTACCACTCACTGCATCTTTGAGCAGAGATACCTCAGAGTATTGCATTTAGGGACAAGTTCCCATATGCTAACAGATTTGCCGGAGTCAGTTGGAAATCTAAAGTTTCTTAGGTATCTTAACATCTCACGCTCAAAAATAGTTGTTTTACCAAAGTCCATCGTTCAACTCCAAAACCTGCAGACTCTGAAACTGACTTTTTGTGAACATCTCTCTGAGTTACCTGAAGGTATCAGATACATGAGAAATCTTCGTCATTTGAATATACATGGGTGTTGTTCTCTTGATCATATGCCCCATGGAATGGGACAGTTACGACACCTGCGAAGACTCAGCACATTTCTTGTGGGTCAGGGGGAGGGAGTCAGAATAAGCGAGTTGCAAGAGTTAAATCTTCTAGGAGGAGAGTTTAGCATAAAGAGCCTTATGAATGTAAGGCATTCGTCCCAAGCAGAGAGTGCTAACCTGAAGAAGAAACAGAATATAAATCACTTAAATCTATCTTGGGGTTGGAAGAACAGCAGCAAAGACAACTTACCAGCAAACAATTCAGAAGAGGTTTTAGAGGCTCTTCAACCACATTTGAATTTGAAGATGCTAACAATATCCGACTATCAAGGCTCACATTTTCCATATTGGATGGTGGGTTTGGTCAATCTGGTTAGTATTGCATTTGAAGGTTGCAGAAGATGCGAAGATCTGGCTTTTCTTGGGAAACTACCATTTCTTAAGGTTCTTGAACTGAAAGAGATGGATGCTCTTAGATATCTAGATGATAAGGAAGGCGACGATGAAGACCTATTTCCATGTTTGGGGAAATTAACCATAATGGACTGCCCCAATTTGATTGAATTGCCTTGTATTCCCAATCTGACATCATTGCAAATAATCAGAAGTAACGAGAAGATTTTTAGGTCAGTGGGGAAGCTCACTACTCTTGCCTTCTTTGAAATTGAGGGCTTTGAAGAGATGAAGTCGCTTCCAGATGACATGCTTAGCAATCTAACATCCCTGCAAGAATTCTCTCTTGACAACTGTGTTAAGTTAGAAAGTTTTCCGGGACTGAAAGAGAACACTAGGCTTAATGGTTTAAAGAAACTTCGTGTACATCATTGTCATAGCCTTACTTCCTTTCCTTCGGATTGGTTTCAGGGCACCCCCAATCTCAGATCATTAAATATTTTGGATTGTTCAAGAGTAAAAACTTTACAAGAGGGATTGCAGCATCTAACAGCTCTGGAGAAATTGCAAGTTTGGAGTTGCCCAAATCTGAGGTGCTTACCAGATGAGTTACAAAATCTTGAATCACTGAAATCTCTGGTTATTGGGGACTGTGAACTAGTGAAGGTAAGGTGTGAGAAAGAGAGAGGTGGGGATTGGTCTAAAATTGCTCATCTTCCCTACATTAAGATTGATGATCAAGTGATACAGTTCTTCTGACAACAACTGAATCAGTGAATGTGATGATGGATGTAAACAGTAATCTTCTACTGTTCTGAATTCAGGTGCTTCATCAATTATATTTCTGAAATCACCAAACATTTTGATTCTTTACTTCCGGCTTTCTAGCAACCAGAGTTTAAGCTGCTTCTTTCTGAGATTACTACTGTTGTTCAGATTAGAACCCCACCAGCTGAAGCTCTAAGGTAGATCAATGGCTTGTATTAATGAATTCCTCAGAAAATAAGTTCAATTCGCAGCTGGAAGTTCCTATAAAGCTAAATCATATCCTATCAGTAAAACCTAAACCAAACCAAAGCTACCAAGAAAATCCCAATTAGAAGTAGGGTACAGTAAGATGTTCATAGATCATACCCCCATCCCTAGGTAGAGAGAGAGAGGTGGTTTTCGTGAAAACTCGACCTGCAAAAGCTCTATTGACATTTTAGAGATTTAGGGGCCGTTTACCAAACATTTACCCAGTTAGTGCTTACCGGTAAAAATTAACACTATCATTTACTTACCGGGTAAGATTTTAGTTCATCAAAACGGCATCGTATGCAACAATTTACCCGCTAAGCACTTACCGTGGTAAGAGTCGTTGCCCTCGCTTACCAGGTAAGACTCTTGGTCCAAGATTCTTGGTCCAAGATTCTTGGTCCTTACCATATCCATCCGGTAATGTAATGTGATTTGGTAAGCGCTTACCCGGATAAGCGTTTGGTAAACGACCCCTTAGAAAAGGTTTTGTGAAGTTTGAGACATTAGAAAGCAAGTACACAAAACAACATTAGAAAATCTAAAAAAAGTTTGGATACTTGTTCAACTGATCTGATGCCAAAAGTAACCCCTTCATTGGGAAAAGAAATTCTCAAAATCTGCCTAAAGATCACAAAGTGATTGCACTTGTTCAATTCATCCATACAATTTGTTGTGTGTTGTTTTATTTCATTGCTGAGTATGATTAATGGCTGAATAGAGATCCTATAAACATTTTAAAAACTGCAATATGTTAAGCACCGTTCTTTGTAATTTATGGTATCTAACTATCTGGAAAACTTACAATACGTCATGGTGCTTCTTTAGTCGAAGATTCTACAGTTGTGAAGCCAGATTAGGTGACTGTCCAACCTGATGCACCACGTAGAAAGAGGACTGCTCGTATTGAACAACCTATTGAACAAGCATCGGACAAAGTGTGATGGACTACGAGAAGCATTGAGGTGTTGACTCTCGTTTACTAAACACTTATTGGGTAATCGCTTACTTATAAAAGTCACACCATCACTTACCCTATCGGATAACATTCTTTGCCATCAAAATGGATTGTTGGTAAAACATCTCTTACCTAGCAAGCGTTAGAGTTTTCTCTCTCATTTACTAGGTAAGATTTTTGGTCTTTCTCCTCCGATAAGTGTTTGGCAAACATCCCCTAAGATTTAGGAGACGTTTGGTTTGTAAGAATGTTTATGAAAGGAATGAAATCTTTCAAAAGAATTTAAATCTGAAGGAACTAAAATGACATTTAATCAAACTTGACCATATATTTGGTACACAGAAATTGGAATAATATCTATTAAATGAATTATTATCTCTCAGTTAAGTTTGTCTATTTGATATGTTGTGAAAATAAATTAAAATGTGAACGAGGAACATATTCGTATGAAAAATGGAACTCTTTTTTCTTCATGTTTTTGCTGTTGTTTCTTTTAGACATGGACACAAGGACGTAAACAGATGAGATGTTTTCGTCTATTTGATATGTTGTTTTTTCATGTTTCTTGCGTCTTGCTCTTCCTTCTTTTACTGTGTTGCGTTCGTGACATGAAGGTCCCAAGGACGTAACCAGGTGAGATGTAAAGTAGATAATGAAATAGATATTGGATTTATAGACCTTCATTTACAAGCATTGTCACCGTTAATTAAAACCAAACCAATCTCATACAGAATAGGCTCTCTGTCTATAGACTTTACCTCCACCCATAATAGTAGAGACTGTTTCCATAGAGACGATAGAAGCTGCAATTCCCAGACCTATATCCGGTGCATTACATGCTTGTACCTAATGCAACAACCGATGCTACATGACAATGGAAGCCATTGCTATAACGTCACCGATGAAAATAAATTTCTTTAAACATTTAAATATTGCTACATGTTTTAATCTACCTACAACTACTACTGCTAGCACAAAACTTCAGGAACAGAGATAATGGTTCATGTATAATTTGTCATCAGCTCTTAATCTAATACAACACTTGTCGTATACACATGATGACCTAAATAAATATATCGTTGTGATCCTTTCTCTCTGTGTGTGTATATATATGTATATACACCCACCCTTTGTTTTTCCAGTTCATAATGCTTTAATCGTCTTACGCTGCCACATTGCATTTTCGGGATCAAACCTCAGCTCCCAAGTAGGCCAGTAGTGCAAGTCCTGTTTCAATGTCAGCACTCGTGGCTTCCCATTGAGGTGCACTGTTTTCACACGAACAAATTCTCCGTTTTCTATTTCCTGAAAAGCGTATCAAGTTTTGGGGTTATATACAAATATTGTTTTTTGTAGAATAACAGACCTTGATTTCGCTTCGACAAGTATACATACCTTTGTTACATCAACAAAGGCATTCAAATCAGGAGTTGGTTTCCCATTGACTTCAACAATCCATTGAAGAGCATATAGTCCATATCTATGCACAGGACTCCCATGAGACCATCTGAAAATTTTGATAAATTATCATTACTGGAGTCCCACATCAGCTAGAAACGACTAACAAACTTGTATATATGTTGGTACCTTGTCTCTCTTTTAGAAATAAAGAACTGTTTTAGGGTGAACTTGGTAAGCGGGACTGTACTGAACAAGACAAAATGGATTTTTTTTTCTAGGTTCTTTTTGTCCCACCAAAATAGGTCAAACAAAAATCAGAAAGATGGACAGACTTTGTAAATTACTAAACTATCCATGTCCAGCCTTATCCGCATACCCTTAACGTGCAATTTTAGCTCCCTAAGGAAAAAATTATTAGACACATACCTTGTCACGTATACACCATGGCCTTCGTCAGGCAAAAACCCGAGAGTACGCACTGCTGGGTGAGAATCCTGTAAAAAACATCCACACCAATTGATTACGCGTGTGGTTCCATTGCCGTCTCTCACATCTGTTCCCACAAGAAGATCGATTTCATGCCCCTGAGAAACCACAAAGACAGTATTATCAAGAACATCTCCAGTGTATGCTGGAAATGTGGACGGATGAATAATCAGTCTACGCATAGGTTAACCTGACGAAAGATGGTCAATCCAAGTTTCCCTTCTGTGGCATCGTACTGATCCAAGGCTTGGCATGCATCTTCAATATCACGAAAGCATGTAATTGGCTTTTTATTGATTGCCAACACCATATCACCTTGTGCTAATAGATTCTCAGCTTTAGATCCCGCCAAACAACCTTTGACACATAACACTTGACGTCTAACCGGATCTTTTTTCACAAGAGCTTGGATCCAATGGTCGCTGAGCCCAAAACTTCTGGCCTTCGATAGCAAAGTAGGATAAAGCTCAACCTCTAAGATTCTAACAAGAGGCATTGGTCTCTTGATGCCATTTATGAGAAGTGACGGTCCTTTTGCACCTGATAAAATCTTTTTAAGTATTAAGCTTATCGTATATATAGGGATACCCCTAACAAATTGATGATCTTCGGATGTATTACACCCGTATTTCAGCTGCAAACCAAAATCTATGATCAGTTGCATTCATGAAAGACTCTTTTCAGCAATAAGTACAAACTACAAACCTGAGTTGAAAAGCTTCCCCATATGGCTTTAACCCTACCATTCTCATCAGTAAGCACTCCTGAAAAAGTACTGCCAAAATCTGCAGGCAAGCCAAAAAAAGATGACTACCATTTCTTAGATAATATATTCTGCAAACAGTGAATAATGGAAAAGTACCAGTGTCGAGCTCGATAACTTCCATGTTGATTGCTCTATACCGTGGAGAATCAGCTGAGCTAATGTTTAGAGCGGCACATGGGTTGGTAACGACGGATTTTCTTGATGTTGCCTGTAAGCTCCTACTTAACCCCACCAAATAGACGGAGTCACCACGCCGTAAAGCAGGTTCTGACACGAAAAGATAAAACGTTAATCAAAATTCCTGTGGAATAACCACAATGACAATATTAGCCTACCAGGAAGAAGTTCAGCAGCTCGTACTGCAGAAGCCCCGGCAGATCCTAGTGCAGAAGGATCATATGCAACAAGAGCATAGTTGTGAACAGGATGAAGAAAGACAACCTGCAAACCACAATAACAGTCAATCGAAGTCGTATGGATGCTAATTAGACTCGTATAAGAACAGGAAAGAGTCAACCTCGCCGGGAATTTCCACTGGGAAGGCAGCAAAGGAGAGGACTATGTCAGATGCTGTTATGGCAACGGTGTTCTTGTCGACTGCAACCAATCCCATGTTTTCAGAATGATGTATGATGACCCCAGTTCCGAAAAAATGCTGTGAGTGGACCCCATCAAGCATACATGATGATGGTACATAAACCTGATAAGTCAAACACCAACGGGAACTCTTTGAGCACAGGCTACAAGAAAGACATGAACAAGGAGTTAGTTGATCCCTGAATAAATTTACCTCAAACATGACGAGAGTGGGCTCTATCTCACGCTCGGCAACAGAAGCATTGCCAAAAATAGCTGCTGTACCATAATGGTCTGTCACAGCTGCATCTTCCCGATCTTCCTGGCTCTCAATTTTTGGTTCATTCAAGGTATAATCAGCAAGCATACTTCCATCAGTAGAAAGCTCTTCCCCAACTCTGCGCTTTTTTGTTCCACTGTCAGATTCAGCTTGATCATGTGGTTTGGTGCTGCTACTTGTCTTCGTGCTGCTAACACCGTTAACCAATTGTTTACCAAGATCTCCATGCACATGTTCAACAAGACAATTGTCTGTGGTACCCAAAACTACATGATTTATCAGGCCTTGCTTGATATTTTTTGTCCCAAAAGATATAAGTGGGCAGTCAAGAGGCAGAGCTTGCTTTATTATCCAGAGACCAGAATTGTCATCACGAGTGTAAATCTGAGGGGAGGCATACCACTCATGGCGATCAACTGTAACTAGGACAGACTGCAGCCGAAAGAAAGCCATAAGATGCCACCCGTCAAGTTTTAGGAATTCACACACACAGATACAATATTGCACACACATACATAAATGCTGCAAGTTCTAGCAAAAACGTTTCTAAAGATGGTTATTGTGTTGGGTTTTAAAATGATTGTGGCACTACCTTTCTCCTATGACGATCCATGTAGCTTATATATTCCATTGGAACTCTAGCTCCTCTAGAAAGTTTTGATAGAACACTGATAAGGTCTTCAAGCTGTGAAATTGCTTCACCTGCAAACTTCTTTATAATGGCATGCCTTGGAACTCCAGCTCTAAAAAGCATATAACTGTGGTTGGCACAAGAAGCATATTTTAATAAAAACAGTTACAAAATTCACTCGGAGAAGAATCTGTAAAAGAACTTACCCAGGTTCCGAGACATAGACGAGACCACATTGAAAACGGAAATTCCTAGCCTGTTTAAGAAGGAAAGATAGAGTCTATGATAAGAAAAAAAAAAAAAAGAGCAGAATCAAAGAGGCAATAATTACAAAAAAAAAAAGCAATACATATGCATGAGACCAGAAAGCTTTTTGATGTTCGGAAGTTGGATCATACAATATGACAGCAGTGAATCCAACATCTTTGGAGGGTATTCAAGCAAGAAAACATATATATCAACCCAAGTTCATGGGATAAGGCCTCACTTCACTTGACCAAGTTATATTTCTTTGTTTCTTTGCCCACTAGTTCTTGAGGATTTTCAGATTCTCGGTAGTAAAAGACTATTAAACATAAATTTGTGGCCTAAAACGAATGTAGCAGTAATAAGTAGGAGAAGTTTCAAATCAAGCTCTCTTTGAGCTTAAAGCTAAGGTGAGATTATCCATACACTATTTCCCTAGTGGTATATAAAGCACAGCCTCCATGAGGTCAAGGGTTCAAAACGTGCATGAGTATTTGCTGTATATATTATATATACTTCAAAAGAAAAAAGATTATCCACTCACTATTTCCCTCACAGTACAAAAGTTTAACAAAAAGGGGTCACTGTACATTATCAATTTATCATCGGAAGGAAAGAGAGCAATCTTTGGCAACAAAAATTGCAAGCCATTGAATGACAATGTGAGGTCGTACCGGTGGCACACTGCTGTTTTATTTTCCAATTATTTCTTCAATTAAAGAAAACGAGTGAAAAAACCCGAAACCCCTTCTTTTAAGTTCCTCCTAGCTTTCATCTCTCAGTGTTAGATAATGGTAGATAGAAATGATCGTCTCTCAGAATTCAAAGGCAATAAACAAATTAAAGATAATCAAACCGACCTGTTGATAGGAAAGAGGGTGTATCACGGCACCACTAACTTCCAAGAAGTAGTGTGGAGTTATCGAGTGTAAATCCTGAACCTGAAGATAGCATATGGCGAACTGATGAATTTTTACAGCAATAAATAAATACCAAACACAATGCCAAGGAAGATGTCAGTGACCGACCTGAACATGCATTTATGAGCCAAACTAAAGACCTATAGCTTGAACACATTATTGAACAAAGACACTTGCACTACAAATATAAGGGCAGCCATTGTGTTGATAGTCTGAAGATAAAGCCTATATTCTCAAAAGAATTGACCGAAATGGATAAAGGACATCTATTTTGGCCAGCACACATTTATTAGCAGCTAAGAACCTTGGTTCAGTGTGCAAGATGCCTTTGGCCCAGTGGTGTCAAGTAAGGCTCTACAATCTTTAGGCTGTGAGTTTTAGTCTCTTTAGAAACATGAATGTCTGGGTTTGTTTTCCATATTAAAAATTGAATCGTGGTTCAGCGCTCCTGGAGAATGAAGGCTAACAAAACAATTCACAGGTTTATGGTATTTCCATAAGAAAACAGTGTGTTGAAATAAATTTGTGACAGATAGAAGTTTGTGTGATTCATCAACCAAGATAACTTAACTGCAATATATATATATGTTGTGCATGCAAATTTCCAGAGGCTGAGAACCCAAAGGAGGTGCATATTATTCATAATAAAAAGTTCAGATCTTTATGTGAAACAAAGATGGAAATTTGTACAACCTTATGAACAGATAGGTTTAACATAAAGTCAATTGCACCATCTTAGTTTTAACCAAGAGCTATGAAGAGTTCTCGCGCTTCTGCCACAGACAATAAAATGGAGAAAACAGAAGGTTTTTAATATGCCCATGACCAACTATACAGGCATGCCAACAAAAGATGCACGTTAATAGTCATTATTTGTGTTCCAAATAGTCATCAATATACTCTTTACAGGTATTGGGATAAGTATCAGAAAAAAAATAGACTTATAGTGTAACATCATGGCAAGACGAGAATATGGACGTAGAACATGGAACCCAAAAATTTCAGTAGCTCACCGTCAATTGAACAGTCAAAGGTCTGCCGCCCCTTTCGAGTTCTAACTCAACATTTTGGCCAACACTATCATCAAGTAGATTCTCCATCTTCAGAAACTGACTAATTACCTGCATGAAGATTTGTACAACTAAGGACATAATTTCAGATGATGTTTAAGATGAACACCTAGACTACAAGTCAAATGGTAAAGCTGATTTCAATGCAAGCTCACAGTAACATGGTGCTGATCATATTCTTTAATAATATCAATCATTAGGTGATTTTTAACAGCAACATGAAGCATTTACATAAGCCATGCTCCTCAATTTAAATAGTTACCATCAGATATCAACAAATAGTACGTACCTCCCGGTTCATGCGAACAAGCACATCACCTGGCTCTAACTGTTTATGAGCTGGGCCACCAGGCACCTACAAAATGCGCATGTTTTCATCAGGCACAAAGGTACTGATGAACCTGTCCTATACAATCTAGTAATTCCACAGTAGAGGTGGAAAAGGGACTTACTACAGAATCAACAACGAGCATTCCAGTTTCGCTTAGAGGGGATGCATGGCGCACCAACTAGTTCAAACAAGAACTCGTTTAAGCTTCAAAAAGAACACGAAAAAGAAAGAAAGATAGAGATTAAAAAGAATCTACGGACCTGCTCTATTTCACTTCGGAGACCAAGCCGACGGGTCTCATCAAATCCTTTATGGAGAAATGTTGCCTATATCAGACATATCATGCAACAGTAAACATGAACAGTCCACGGATACAAGGACATGATATTCACAGTAATTCACTCCTTCAAAGCATTTATAAAAACATTGAAGAAAAGAATGACATTGAAATAATGTGTCTAGATTAAATGGAACCACGGATCCATTTGGCACCAAAAGTACTCACCAATTTTGGGATCGCATCTGGAGATGCGCACCTCATAATTGGAGAAAAGAACCATATAGTCATGAATACAGAAAAAAGAAGACTTGCAATATAGGTTTTGGCACAAAACTGTTAAGTAGTTGTATTGTATCCTGAACGGAAGTACTCCATTTGTTGCGAATTCTCCACCGTTCTTTCCTCAAACTTTCAAAGGAATTATCTTTCTAGGGTCGATCATGAGATTCTAAGTTCACATTTGACATACCTAACAACAATCCAAGGTAATGTGAAAACTGACGTTCTCGTGTCTTCAGAAAAGTAATGGAAGTACTTGTCATCTATGTGGAGACATGAACCACAAATTGAATTTCATAGGCACAGGTTCCAGCGAGCAGGTAATTGATCTTTTGAAAATTAAGCTATATCCATCAAGTGTCGATTTTGTGCCCAATGATTTTCATACTTCAATTAGAACCCCCACTTCTTCATCATTTCAGACACCCAGCCCCAAGCGGGAAGGGGGGGGGATACTGACAACTGGTTGCACTAAGGAACACTAACTACTGATTAGAGGCTAGATAAAGACATTGGGTGTAGTCATTTTTTATTGTCCATTTACTTGGCAAGTACACCAACAATGTAACTCTATCCTTCCAAAAAAATAGCTTAAACTGTATTTATCATTTTGTTTGTGCAGGAGAATGAACACTAAACAACACCGTAAAGTGAATGGTTGGCAGTTTAACATGGTGATTACCTCTCCTTCAAGTGTGTCCTTGTTCAAAGAGTAAGGTTTTTCAGAAAAACATGATAGTGTAGCAGTACTTCATATCCAAAAAAAATGGTAGCAATATGCAAACACTAAAAAGTAATTTACTTCAGATGAGTAGACAAATTTGCTAAAAAGCGATGATCAAAGTTATATGAAAGAATGCCCATCATCTACAAATTTGTAATAATCAAAACTCAACTACAACTGTCAACATAAGTTTGGCAGGTTTTGTATCTCATTAAAAGACAAAGAAGAAACTCACAAACCTGAAGCGTACCACGAGGTATTGTAACAGCCTCCCATTTATCTTGAAAAGAATCTCTTCCCTTCTGCAAGAAAGTTAAAGCCCTCACCACCTGTAAAGTCAAAGAAAAATATTTTTCTTAACAACAACTACCCCATATATATGTGTCTTTATATGAGACACAGAAACAAGGTTGCGACAACTAATATACAGATCCTTTACTTTTGGATATAAAATCTCTAGGTCTCCAATTGGAGTGTGTGGGCGACCATGGAAGGTCAAACTAAACCAAACAAATCCAGTGAGTCACACTAGGAGTAGGGCTTGGAGTGGGTAAGATGTACACAAACCTTACCTCTGACCTGTAGTGAGGTTATTTTCGTGAAGACATGGGAGGTCAAAACTATGATGTACGCATGTAGTAACTATCAAGCATCCCAAACAGAAGACAAAACTGTGTGTCACTAACAGTACAGTGGGAATGCTTCTCTGGTAGCCAACCGCTCTCCTGCCCCCAGGACCCCCTCCAGCAACTCGTGGATGTAAAGGTAAAAAAAAAGTGCAAGTGCATTTGTCCTGTCATAACTAATTTAACTTTTTAAGTGCTTAAACTACTTGCTTGGTATGTCTGGAAGAGAGAACCTAAGATGCACATACAAGAAAGACCAATAAATTGAATTGGGTATAGGAGTAGAAGCATATATTATACTTACTCGTTCTAAAGGTAAGAAAAATGCTGAAGCACTTGACGACTTGCTGCCAGCATTCAAGGCAACTGCTCGTCCTTGCCAATCAATTACCGGGGAACCACTTGAACCACCTTTAGTACCTGAAGCCGCCTGTTGTAAGCCAAGAAATGAAAAAGAAATATAAAAAAATTCCTTTGTTACCATATAGTTGAGTTGCAACTATCAGACGTGGTAATAAATATCAATATGAATATAAACCAAGAAATCTTAATAGGCCATCTAATGAGGGATAGAACAGAAAAATGAAAATATGAAAGAAAAGCTTAGGCTGGTGCAGGTTGAGAAGAAGCTGAGGTCCCACAACGTGAGATGTCTTGGTCATTTCCAATGTAGACATTGGATGCACTGGTTACAATAAGAGACCTGTACGTTGAACTCGTAAGAATGGTAGAGGTCAACGAGCATTGGCATGGAGGGAAGCAATGAGAAAGATTTTAGTGGGTGGAATATAACAAAGGAATTGGCCTTGAATATGAGTGTGTCAAAGAATATTAATCATGTCCTGGGATCCCTGGGGGATTTGCTGCCTCAGAGTTTCTATTGGGTTTCCCTTTTTAGTCTACCCCAACTAACTTGGATAAAAAAAACTTTTTTTTTGTTGATAAGCCGTACGCAACATGCATGAAAAGGTTCAACTTGAACCATATAAATATCATACTACATGGACAATATCAACAGAAAGCAGACCAAGTATACAGAATTCATAGGGGGGCTAGTAATTGTGCAAAAGTATAGAAGTATGCATCGGAGACTTTTGTATAACCAGCCTGATCCCAAACTAATAGCAATAGTATGAAAAAGCTCACCTGCATGTAAAATGTATTGAAATCGTTGTAGCCATCCCTGCAGCAGGTAGCAGACTCATTGTTAATACTTCATAAATAGTGGCAAAACTTTCATGTACTTTTCAAGCTAGATTTTATACTTAATCTAGAATAGCTGGATGTAAACTGCATCCTTTCAATGAAATTCAGACACATAGATAAAGAAATGTTTAACAAAATAGAACAAGTAAGCCACAAGGTCTTGGTAGTAGAAAGGTCATCTTTTTTCTGACAATCATTATACGCCCATACATCATGATAGCATGTTGAACAATACCAATGAAAAACATCAATGGTTCAGTTAGTTGATGTGGAATAAAATATATGGATAAAAATAAACACACGAGGCTTCTTACTTCTGATGGAATAAATGCATGCAGATAATGCGACCACAGTCGGATGTTAGCAAGAGTTATGAGGTCAAAGCATATTGAGATGGATCGAGATGGGTTTATATATACCCCAATCACTACAAAGGGCAGGAAAGGCTTTAGTTGAAGTCCGTGAACACACACCACTTTTGTTATGTAACAATTGTTTTTAGCCCATAGTCAGTGAATACTGCACAAATTTTCATCAGCAGTCCCCAGATATTTGCGAAAACTAGTTGTGCATGTGCTACCATGTTCTTATAATATTTTGATCTGCTAAAAAATTTGTGTAATTTTTTCCTTTATTTTTTAATTGATATACATGAGACATGATTCAAAACTTTCACCTCATTCCATACAAAGTTCTAAGATTTCTGTCTTCAAGCTTTATGTTTCCATACACAAATGAAATATATAAAATACTGATACATTCCTACAAATCGAATATACTGTATTGGGACCTTGTGCGCTACATAACCATAAATGCTTGTGATCAGTCGATCAAAAAGCAAAAGAAGAGAAAGGAATGGTAGTTAGTAGTTCCACAGTCACTTATCACTAAACATGTAATCTATACCACAAGAATAGACAATAGTGAAGCAACTTCATGTTATACCCTATGCTAGTAGTGGCACAAGTAGTTACTGCATTTGGCGTACAAGTAGGTAATGCATATGTCTAGTATAAATAAGTCGTGAGGGACCAGTAGGTGGACATTCTGTTTGTAGCCCTTTGGGCATGAGTCTGTGGAGAGAATAGCTTCTCGAAAGCCAGAAACCTAACTGTAGCCATTCGATTTTCCCCATTAATCACTATATTACATTTGCAATTCCATTCGATTTTTTCGTACATCACTTCACTACTACCAACACAATACTTCAGAGCAATATAAAAGAGTGAAATATGGTGAAGTGCATACTTTTTATAATATGGAGCATCCCTATCCAGACGAGCAAGGGTACCAGCCAAAATTGAGACCTGTAAATTCAGAGCATAGGTAAATAATATCATACATGAAGAATATTAAACAGACAGGGCCCAAGATAAAGTAAGCTGCGGAAGTAGCCAAAGAAATAGCCATTAACAGCACAGTCACACAATTCATAAAGCACACATAAAGTATAGGAGGAACTAGACACTTCGTCACATACACTAATTAATAACTTCAAATAGAATCATGCATTAAAGTTTATACGATGGCAAACGTGATGTTGAGTATGCATACAACTACTTTGAAAAACGAATAATTCACATATAAAATGCAGTGGTCAGAAGTGAATTTTGTGAATATATTATTGAGAGGTTGAATGATAAGAGCCTAAAGTATATGAATGTCAATACAGGTGCTGCCATTTCAACCCGACATCGATGTGGGTTTGATAGGTTGTTTTACTTTGTGGTTAATTACTCTGACCTTGCATGTTATGTCTTCTTGAAACCATGCCATTTCTTTTTTCTTAGCAAACTTAAGCTAAAAATTTAAAAATTCACTGGAATATAGCAAGGACTTTGTCTCCTGACAGAGGGATAGAGTATAGTGCATGACTGCAAACTTGAGATATGGTAGAGTGTGGTCAAACAACATGTGTTTAACGGAGTATGTGTGTTACCAACCTAGGAATCTAAGACAAGATGGTCAAACGGAAAAGATAGAAACCTAAATATATTCAAGGATAGAATGGCTGAAGGGTGGAAGCTTATAAGATACAAAAAAGAAGTGGCAACTTCCATTCAAATGGAAGCAAAAGAGTGGTCAGGGAGACTAATGGAAGTCCGCATCAAAATGCATGCACTTGACGATTGAGAAAAGAAAGAAGTCTATTGGGGAGAGAAATGATTGTCATTGGCTCTAGGAGTGTAGTGGACGTCGAATGTAAAAGTTCATATCTTTTGTTTTCAATCAACCAACAGAATTTGGATGCAATTTGATGAAACTCCAACATTATAATTGAAGAAAAATCTGCAAGAACGAATTTAAATAACATGAGCAAGTATCACTCCTCACTCCTGAGTCAGACTAGGAATCATTTAAATGATCATAATCTCCATAAACATGATTTATATGTACCTTCTCTCCACTATCATTACCAACAACTCTAATTTCCAATCCAACACAAGCAGCATCTGGAGCAAGAGGAATCTCCTCATAGCTCAGAAATTGTATTGCAGCAGGATCATAACGAAAAAATCCAAAATCATGAACCTAGAAATTGAAAAGGCATAATATCAGTATCATGCAGAAAATGTCTCTTTGAACCAATGCATACAACAATATTCTAAACAGGAAACTTGACAGGTGTGTGATTTCATATATTATACATAAATAGTCCTGATGTTGATAAACTAATAACTCATGCCATAAGAAGAAAAACATAAAAGATAGAATATCAAGTTATAGAGGAAGATCATCGAGCATGTGTTCATGAGACCAACTATGCTTTAATTCAGTAAGAGAAAAACAAAGTACAGAGAAAACAAAATGGAAGTACTTTTTAAGAATATTATAACTAAACAAGCACAACGACATCGTATGGCTATGGTAGCCCTTACGAATGAAGACAAGAAGAAATCTGGCTAGAGAACTAAACATACCTGCTATATGTGAAAATAAAATAAAGCTCAATTTATTATACAAGTAGATCAAAATTAACGTTTTGAGACCACTGATAGACTATAGTTCCAAGATAACCAGCATATAAAAGAAGGATATGAAGCCAACCTGAAGCTTATTAGGAACATCAAGGTCCAAGCTTGGTGTAGGTTTTTACGTGATTCTTGTGAGTAGTCACCTTGCTATCAATGTTATAGAAGGGGTAGCATGCCTGCCACACCCCGGCCTTTTCAATATTGAAGTATCTATATATGTGATACCTTCAAATTATTACTATCATCTTGCATTCCATTCTGATGACATGACTCCCCCAGATAACATTTTTTCACAAATGTAATCAATCTTTGAACTCAAGTATACTTTAAAAGGAAGAGCTACATAATAATAGATCAATTCTCCAGTAGAAAGCATATACAGGTGGAAAAACAATAAAAAGGAAAACAATAGTAATCATATGATTATGTTTGTGGTGTATGATGATGATAAAGACAAATGAGAGAGGATTTCCCAAAGGGCGACAAATAACTAGAAGTGTCTGTTACAAGGCTTCATAGTAACTATAATGATACTTGGTTTTGTTCTTCAAATTATAACCAACTTAAAGATAGGAAAGTCTTGCATTGCAGATATGCCCATTCTCATACATTCTTTAATTAGGTTTAGATACAAAAACAAGAATTGAAATGCCTTCTACTACATCTCTGCTTTAAGATTGATCCAATAGCTACTTATAACGTAGAACATTTTAAGTGGGTTTTCACATAGAATAGCATATCAAAAGCATACTGAAAACAATTAAAAAGTTCAAACCATTGAATTGCTCAGTTACACCAAGATACAGGAAAACTATTGTTAATTCTAAAGATAATAAATGAGCAAAAGAGGAAAATACGCAAATTCTATGTAGCATAATATATGATATGAACACACACACTTGGTGAAAATGAAATTGAAATGCTAAAAACGCACCACATTGAAAAACAAGACATCCATGACCCATTAAGCAACTCACCGGGTCTCTGTATATTGGATAGACTGGAATCTCTTCACGATTTACAAACATAGCTTCAGCAACCACAGGACCTATACACATATAATCAATAAAAAAGGTAAAACATAGAAAGAACGCACTTTCCCATGAAATTTCACACTATCACACCACAGCATTGAGAAACATTAGAAGGAACATCTAATTTTCATTTCCATGCTGAAATGAACATCAATTCGAGTTCTTTAAGAGCACAAACTATATCAATGACTACACCCTCTGTCCCACTACGAGAGTCCATGTAATACTTTGTCCCAAGATGGGGACTTCTTCATTTACATTTAACACATTACCTCAATTTTACCATCAACTTTACTTCTACGAGTCTATCCTCGATAATCTTGAATCTCAGAAAACGGCCTTAAATTGGCGAAAAAGAAATGCTGAATTACCAGGTTTAGTCACATGACGATTAGTTAGTATAATTCCGCGACTCTTATCGACAACAAATCCCGTAGCATAGCTTGCACCTGCCGATTCGGTATCGAAAGCTCGACAGGCAGTAGTCCGAAGCACCACCACCGCCGGAACCACCTTCTGCAACGCCTTCCTCCAATCCTCAGCGGTAGCGAGGTTTTCCTTGAACGGAGGATCAATTTCCATAGACAGATCATCCTTCATTCCCGATCCTGACCTTTCGGATGAGTCCCCCATCTCCTAAATCTCTCGAAATTCAATCCTTGTGTAGTTGTGTGTGTGTTTCAGGCGATAATTACCAAAGTCGTAATTTAGGGTTAATGTGAGGTGAATTTTGTTCGAAGATCTTTGATGTATCTAGCAGTCGAAGGAAACTCCGGCGACGGAGATGAAACCTCTTCTCTCTCTCTCTCTCTCTCTCTCTTCCAGTGAGAGAGATAAGAGTTGACAACGAAATACATTCACTCCATTCGTCTTTTTCCCCCTTCATGCCTCAGCTTTCAACTAAGTTGAAATTACAAAAAAGTCCCTTAAATACGGCAGTTGGGTACGAGATAACCGAAATAATGGTGGGGTTATTTTCGTATTCCGCTAGAGCTTTTGTCATGAATTGGGCTCTCCATGATTCTTCTCTTATATAATTAATCATTAATTGAGGCTCCTTTTATTAATAAGCATGATGATGACCCAGAATATTATTCAATAAGTAAAAGAAAATCATATCTGGTAAGAGATATTTACTAACAATTTATTTTGATTGTTGAAAATATTACCAGATAAGATAAGAAAGGATAGTGAATATTACTGATAAACCCTGGGATTATTTGCGTACGTCATAGATAAGATAAGACAGCAAGTGGTCGTCTTGTGATTATCCGTGTACGTCGCATATAAGAATGATGTGGATCCTCGTAATAAACTTAAAAGACGGAAACTTTAAAAAAAAAAGATTTGCATTTTATTAAAATGTATAATTAAAAGATATTAATATGTTTTTATTTATTTTAAACTAGCTTGAAGTAACAAGCTTTTTAAGGTCTCTTCAACACATGAGCTAAAGTGTCATATTATTTCCAACATACATGCTATATTTTTTTAATTTAAAGATTTCTTTATTCTTTCATTGTTTTCTCTATTTTAGAGAAGAGTTTAAATAGCTATGAGAGCAAATTTTTATCAGGTCTTCCAAATTTATAAAATAACATAGTTGTTGGAAATGCTCTCATAATAAAGCAACAAGTTATTTCCTATCGATGAGCTAAAGTGTTAAATAAATGTGCTAATTAAAGTGTTATGTAACGGATCAAAATTAAAATAGTCCATGTTGAAGCACACTTTGATTAACCTCATCTTAACTTAAATAAAATTCAATGTTGATATATGTTTTGTTTTAATTGGTCGAAAATCTAATAATTTAGTTGTAAAATCAAATACTAAATTGAATGTGTTGGTACAATAAAAATGTTATAATTTAACACTACTTACTTGGAGACATTTACTACTATTACGATAAACGACTTACGATCATGTGAGAAGAAGAGTTAAGATGAAAAGCGTAAACAGAAATCTCTACTCTTGATCAATTTTAATACCATGTCTATATACAAATTATTTTAAAAATGAATTGATCTGATGGATCTTAATAATATCTGGGAAAGAGGTTTGACCATAGATTGCAATGGGATTGCATGTCCACTATGTTGCATGGGTTTATTTTAGCATAGTGGAGTTGGGTAGCAAGCATGCAATCCCATTGATGAGTATGTTTAGCTTAATCATTTGTTGTTCTACTTTCCGTCATAGTTTGATAACGTGTATTTAACTTTTTTTTTTCTAAAATCTTGATATTGATATATATATATATATATATATATATAGAGAGAGAGAGAGAGAGGTTGGTTATTATACAACCCTTGACATTTGTGCAACCAATACAACCCAATCTCAACCGTCCATTTCATTTGATGAATATGTGATTTCATAGAAGTTTTGATTGTTTCTTAATATAAAGTATTAATCATAATTAATGAACCCTATTCATATTCCATAAATATTCAAATCATAATAAATGAACTTCTATCATTTCTATAAATATCTCAATTAATTGGGTTGCAAGGGTTGTACAAATACACAAGGTTGTAAAAGAAATATACCCTATATATATATATATATATATATATATATATATATATAATTTGTGACGTTTTACTTAGAACAACATTTTTAAAGTTATTTTTAACCAATTCAAAAAAATTATAAATAAATAAAACTTTAACCAAGCTCTATCACTAGTTCGATTTTTACCCATCCAACCTGTCGTTTATATATATATATATATATATATATATATATATATAATAAAAAACGAAGGAATAGTCTTATAACCATCGATTAGTTTTAATCTAATGATTATTAAAAATAACAACTTTGAACATTTTATTAAATTGAAAATGACAAAATGATATATTTCATTAATGGATAATCATTTTCATTTATTAAAATCATTTAAATAAAGAAAAGTTACTAAATTTTTTAAAACTTTCTTTTTATAAAAAAGCTAAAAAGAATATTTCAACAATCTACTAAAGAAAAATATTCTACAATCTACAATAAAATATGGGAGAGGCTAATGGCACCCCTATGGGTTACCATTGGCACCCTTATGTAGACTTCAATATGATTTTTTTTTTGGTTTTTTGTGTTTTTTTGTCATTTTGTTATTATTATTTTTTATTTTATTATTATTTAAAGAAAATTTTAATTAATATATATTATTCATTTTATTTT